CTCTCTCTCTCTCTCTCTCTCTCTCTCTCTCTCTCTCTCTCTCTCTCTCTCTCTCTCGTCTCGTTTCACAAACACGTGGAGGGACGAGACTTGTACCCTGTAACCAGACTATCGATGTACAATTTTTTTTTTTTTTTCTTAACCAAATAATAATTAATTTCTACGCGATTTTTAGCATAGATAGCATATATTCAATGATAATTTGTATTTTCTCTTCTTGCTTCGATTACAAGCCTTTTTTCTATATACTTTTATCTAATGTCCAGTTTCAAGCAAGACGCAGATAGAATCAGATCATTCCGTCTTCGTCGCATCTACGTTTCTATCTCGCCTCGTCTAACGTGGAAAAATCGATTATAATATTGGCCGGATAAGGTTCACCGAATCTCGGATATCGTCTTTCCTCGAGCGACAAATTTCGGACAAGAACGAGCCTGTTAACCTGTTTCGACCTTAGGACACGTAAGTCTACGTGAATATTTCCGAATATCCTCCGCGAGAGTACACTATACGTTTACGAAATTTTAGGATTAGGTTAATTAATAAAATTAATTAATAAATTCTGGAGAAAATATTTTTTCAAACTTGAATATTTGTATAATAATATAAATCGTAAAATTATTAAATTTCTGAATACGCAGAGACTGATATTATTAGTTTAATTTATATGTTACGTTGTTTTGGATGTATAATGTGAAATCGTATAATAACGTCGTTCCAAGCGAGATTACATTTTAGAAAACGGAAACTAGAAGGACGAATAAAAAAGAAGTGATTAAAACGTTTGATCGTCATTCGTTGAATCATTCCACGTACGTTTATAATAACTCTCTCGAAAAATCATCTATCTATGTACATACGCTTTGTCATGGACAAAATGTTTCTAGTATTCTGGTATTCATTTTGAACAAAGAACCATTTTTATCCTTGCTTCAATGAAGAACGACGCATCTTCGTATTGGGTCGTACATCTTACACAAAATTACCATGAAGAAGTTGAATATCTTGATCGATCATACTCCTAGCGTATGTATAAAGAAGGATAC